AAAGGCTACACAAATATCCTTCAAATAGTGCATTATGAGGACCTCTCCTTGCATAGGTTTTATACACACACACACACACACACACACTCACACACAATTTTTTTGGCCTTTCAAATCCATTTTCTACCAGTTGGGCTACTTTCAATATCATCCAACATCACAGGTAACATAATCTTCCATTTCCACCCTTGAGTTTCTGTCTGCTTGCTCCAATCTGGACCTCTTTGTACTGTTACCATCCTGGAGCATCGATTTACCTTTGACCTTGGAATTCCTTTCACTTTGCTCTGAGCTGGATCTTAATTCCTGGACCTTTTGATCAATTTCCCTCATTGTGGTAGAGGACATCTTTAAGGGAAGCAGCATACCATAAGAAAGTTAAGACTGTCCAAGTTTGGTGCCCAATTCCACACTTACTATCTATGTGACCTTGAGAACTTGTTACTCTATGACTCAAGTTTCTCTACTTGTAAAACAGGAAAATAGTAGTATCCATTTTGCTGCCATAAAGTGTCAACTGATGGTTCAGATGGAAAGAGAGCTCTGAGGTGGAAAAGAGTATGCTTTTAGATGTGTATATAAGCACTATATAACTCTTTAGTAGTGATGGTGATTCCAAAATGTGTACCTGAGGTCATATTTTGAGACTATACCTGTCACAAATTTACCCTTATTGATGGTTCAGACAGGAAGAGAGTTCTTAGAAATCATTTCTGTTGTTATATTTGAAATTATTATACTATCTCTATACTATCTTCTAGTCTGAGCACTGCAAATAAGAGATATAATGGCATTTTAATTACAGAGTCTTCATAAGGATCTTTTCTCTAATTTAAAGAAAAATTTCATTTATTTGACCACCAGGCTTTTTATAGTAGAAGTGATCTATCTTTTTGGTATTTCAAGCATGTGGTTGCTGCCAGTCTAAGAAAAATTACGGCACAGTTTAGATCAGCATTGTTCAAATGTAATTATACAACACACTAATGTCCCATGATTTTAAAAAGTGGTGTTATGTGGAAGATAAATACTAGCAATCCTCTTCTCTAAAAAATATTGTTTTAATACTCCAGAAAGCATCAAATGGGTAGATGGTTCTTATTAAACAAAGGCTCTCCATTAGAAAATGGTTTACCACAGCCAAGAATCCCAGGCTGTAGCATTCAGTCACTTGACCTACAAATGTGTGATATGTAATCTGGATACCCATGCCTGGTGAACATTTACTAATCACCATGTTACATACATAATGTATAGACCAAGCTGTGATCACTTTTGCAGTATATAAATGTTTCTTTTATACTAATTTTGGCAAATCCATATTAGAAATTTGTAATGTTTCATGGACAAATAAAGTAAGCAAATATTAGTAGAGATGAAATATGCCAAAACTAGAGATATGGGTTGAAATAACTGACATAAAATGTTAGAATACTGACTCTACTAGGGAATGTACAAATTTAAGGTAACTGAAAACAACCTGCCAGAGAAAAATATTAGAGGTATTTTTTTTCCTATAGGCAAAAATTTAATAAAATTATTTGGAATGAACATTATTCCTTAATATTCTAATCCCCAACATGAATCTATATATAACACAGTGCACATTTATATATATATCAGAGAAGACACTGGCAGGAAACAAAGGGTACACTGAAACTGGTTAATTTGATGGATGTCATTCCAAGGACTTTACAAAGGAGTGGATAGGACTTAGGGTCAACAAGGGATAGTATAGAACTCCAGAGCTGGTCATCTTAAGAAGCTGTGGCCAGCCTGAATTCTAAAGGGGCAAGAGAAGTGAGTGATTATTAAAACCCAGACAGGGTCATCATACAGAGACAGACCTAAGAGAAGTAATGGCCTTGGACAGAGGGCAATATAGGCACCTCTACAGGCAACTCTACAGAGAAAAACCAAGGAAACAGATACCTCAAACTCATTCTCCCACTACAAAATAACCTTCCAGTCTCTTTTCACTGCTTGCTCCAATCAGAAGGCAGACAGCAAGGGAGTATGTCAATATTCATAAAGTCAGGTTTCCAGGGCAGGGAACAAGGCAAGGATGGGAGCAGGGGGTTCTGAAGAGCCACCAGCCCTTTGGTCTGCATCTACCTTACATTTCTTCTCCTGTTTATCTTCCTTCTCTTCTTCAGTGACCAAAGGAGATGTCTAGAAATGACTGAATTATAATCTCTAAATCATCAAAATCATCTTATAATCTATATAAAACAAGTTCTCCCCAAATCTGAGCCACAAGTCTTGAAATTATTACCACCTATTTAAATGTAATTCTAGCCTTCAGGTGAGCTAATAAGCTACACAACTTTCCTTCAATCTGCATAATAAGAAAACCGTCTCTGTTGTGCAATCAATTTTTGCGAGGAAGCGAACACTTCAAACACCCACAGTTTAAACTGTAGAGATCTGCATAAGAACCATAAATGAAATCAGGTTCCAGTGAGAGATCTGCATAAGAACCATAGATGAAATCAGGTTCCAGTGAGAGTTTCTAAATTGTTTCCTACGGTATTCCATAAAATGGATATTACTAGTATTTCAAATAAAAATAATTATTCTACACATTCCAAGTTTCCATTTACATGATGTCCAAGAATAGATGAAACTTACCAATAACACAAGTCAGAATAGCAACTACCTTCTGATGAGCAGAAGCAGGCTGAGGCTGAAGGAAACCTGCTGAATGCTGCTGGAAATGTTCTGGAACTGTCTTGTTTTATTTGGTACATATTTACACATATATCAAGACTCATTGGGCTAAAAAATTTAGGTGAGTTCATTTTAAGCACTACAGTATTTGTTCAGATATGCCTCAACTTAAAAGAAATAATTATTCTATTAAAATGATTTTCACAATGACCTCTTTAGCAAATATCTTAACAAAAGAGATTTGAATTTATGCATTTACTAGGAGTCAGCAATTTTTATCCACACATTGCCATTCAACTCTTTTTAACTACAACAGCCACTGGCTCTTTTTGCATTATTGCTGCAGCATTCAATAGTTGCAACAAGAGACCTTAGGAAGTACAACAACTAAGATATTTACTCTCTGATCCTTTATAAAAAAGTTTGCCAAACTCAAATTTAAGATTCAACTGATGTATCTAAATTGTCCCTTTTGTAGGATAATTAAGATCAACCTCACATGAATACAAAGTATCAAGAGGAAGATCAATGAGACATCTTAATAAAGTGCTTAGTTAACAGAGGCCATAGGGGCGCAGCACCCTTTTGCTTGACCTGCACTATGAGTTTAAGACCCTGATCACAAGTTAGCATTCTGTTAAGTTTTATACAATTTGCATTTTTAAAAATCTGCCAACATTTCAAAAATAGGAGAGTGCACTTTGTAAAAATCCAAAATTTCATCTTCTCATTAGAAAGAAAACAAATATCTAACAATATTAGAATCATATTCTTATAAGATGACATATAAACAGGAACAGAGAAGCTCAGCATCAACTGACTTAGCACTGAACTTGCACAGTCCATACTCTTCTAACAGAGTTGAATGAGAAATACAATATTGCTTCTAATATGTGCCTATACAAAAAGAGAAAAATAGAAACTAGGCAGAGGTCCAGGGGCTTCTTAACCCTCAGCTCCCTTGCTGCCTATTGTGCTCACTGAGTTACAAGCATAGGCTTAAGCGCCAGCCTCCAGGGAAAATGGCAGAGAAAAATCAAGAGAGTTGTAAGAGCCAGAAGGTTCAAACGAGCCAACAATTAATTCAATGCTTGCAAACATCAAGTGGCAGAAATCTCCCCTATCTTCTACACAGCCCTACTCCCACTGTGGGGCAATTCTGCCTGTTAAAAATCTTCTTCATACTACTGTTGCAACTTCTTTGAGTCTACAATTATTTCAAAACAAAGCTTTTTTTTTAAAGCTGTTTATACTAAGTAAACATCTGTCTTTGTATAACTTAATTGGTTTTTAGCTGTAAGGAGAAGCTTAATCCTCTTCTACCAGATGGTTATCATGAATCTTGTACAGAGATTTTTACCAAGTCACCTTCCTCAAGTACTAGAAAATGAACAAGACGATCAACTCTCTTGTTCTACAGTTTTCATTCAATCAGCAAATATTTTTGGAGTGCCCATTATTAATTAGGTACTGTTCTAGACTCAGATTACCATGTAAACCTGTGGAACCTACAGCATAAGCTACTATTAGCCTTTTTGGTGGCCATATCATACTACTAATTTACTGTACAAACTTTAGTCCACTAAACTCTCAGTTTTTTCTTATATTCACTACTTAAACTGTATACTTAAGCAAATGGATTATTGAATCCAAATTTTAGAATCCACCGTTCTCTCCAATCTGTCAAGAATTTCTGGAATATTAATTTCTTTTCTACCTATCACACTCCCTATATATTCTAATTTTCTGTTGTCAGCAAATCTGATAAATCTACCCCTCTATATAGTAATCCAACTCAGTCATAACAATGCTTAACTGTATTAAGGTTTCCAAGAACTCTGTGACATGTTACCAGCAGGTGCCCAAGGAGACATGGATCTACTGTTTAGTGTTCTAGACTTACCTCACTCAACAAGCTATCAGTCCATCTGACTGTGTCATCACGAGTATTACTGGGTCTACATTATGCCTTGCTAAATTTCAGATACAGTGTGCTCACCCACTTTCCCCCAATCACCTTGGGGAAAAAAGATTCTTAAAAAATATTTTATGTATGTCTTTAAAAAAAAAAAAGAAGCAAGCTATAACAGTTTTATTTCAGCGCCAAAGTAATTAAAGTAAAACACTTCACCTTGTCTTCCATCATACATGAAAATCATAAGGTTTTATTTTATTCAATGGAGGTGTCTTCAATACAAATACCTAAGAACATTAATTTAAAAAGAAAAAAAAATGGCAGGAGGACAGGTAATTTCACAGATTCCAAAATAAATCAGAAATATTCTTAAATACTAGGTATATTTTGAAAGTGAAAATTATACCATTGGATACAAAAAGAATATGCTGTCCTTAAAAAAATTTATCTAATTACATAAACATTTATACATTACAGCTCTAACCACAGACCAGATGAACACAATTAGCAAATTTAATCCTTGAAACTGTATTCTATTGTTAAAACCAAACAACTTCTTTTTTAACTAAAAGATTTTGCCTTTAATCCTGTCACTGGTGGTTATTAAGAAATAGAAATGTGCTTGAATTTGCACAAGTATATTTGAACTTTATAAAGTCTATAATTCACATTCAAGAGTTAGATTGAGATCATTTTTTAAAATGCTAATATATGTGAATAAGGCATAAAGCATGACACACAAATTAAATTTCAGCACTTGGAACTGAAATACAAACAATAAGCTAATTCATGAATATGGTAATAACCTCTCTGGCATAAAATCTGAAAGCATTTTATGCATTTTAAGTGAACTTTAAATTTTAAGTAAATTTTCACAGTATCAACTTCAAGTTTTAGAATTTCCATCCGCACAAATCATTATACAGACACAATCTGCGATTTATGACAATTTCGCAAAGCTAGATTAAATTGATTTTTTTTCCCAAAGAGAAAAGTTTAGCCCAACAACAAAGCAAACAAGTTTATATGAAGCATGTATAACTTTAAAATAACTAGAACACTTTAGATCTTGTCACACAATTATGGAAGCATCATTCTATGCTACTTAAAAATGATTCTATGCATTAAAGCCAAGTCCATATTCTCCATATTGCTTCAACCTAGTAGACAGTATATCCATTTTAAAAGAAACAAAGCAGGATTTAGTATAAAATACTCTAAATTTGTTGCTTTTTACTAAATTCATAAATTTATCTGATGAGCTCATTTAACTTGCTTATATAAGTTAAACTTATAAAAAGTAGTCTTTAAAAAAAAAGCTATCTGTAATAATTAGATTTCAGTGATAAGGCAATTAAAACGGACACTTTACCCTGTCTTCCATAATATATGCAGGTTTTCAATTTATTTAGTGAAGGTGAAGGCCTTAACCACTAGTGGTTGTCAGGTGTGAACTTCTATCCTGCTGTGCTATGTCCTATTTAGTACACAGCAGTCCTCCCGCATGTGCAGTGTTGCTTTCTGCAATTCCAGCTGCCCACAGTCAACCTGGATCTTTATGGCTTGAGATTATCCTGAAATATTGTCAGAAGGTCAACAGTAGCCTACTGCTGAGTCACAACGCTTACATCATCCACCTCACTTCATCTTACCACGTAGGCATGTCATCTCTCATATCATCAGGAAGAAGAATGAGCCCAATAAAATATTTTGAGAGAGACAGACAAGGACCACATTCATATAACTTTCATTACAGCATGCTATCAATTGTTCCATTTTATTATTATTGTTAATTTCTACTCTGCCTAATTTATACATCAAATTTTATTATAGGTGTGTGTGTGTGTGTGTGTGTGTGTGGCAAAAAAACTTAGTAAACACAGGTTTTGATACTACATGAGATTTCAGGAAACCAATGGGGGTCTTGGAAAATATCTCCACAGGTAAGAAGTACTACTCCAAGTTTTTTCTTGCTCTTAAGACTTTTAAATTTGAGGAATTAAAGAATGTTACAGAATCCAGCTTACCTGAATATATTTCCGTTGAGTTTCGTCATTTAAAACATGTGCAACATGCTTAGAAAAAATCTTTTCCCTGCCAGTTCTGGCATGGATACCAACCATAGTGACACCAATAGGCCAGGGAGCATTTCCAATGGCCATCTGAAGGTAAGCATCATTTGCCTGAAAGGAAGTTTAAGAGATCAGAAAGGCAGAAATATTGCATTGGTTCAAATTCTTTTTTAATATTTTTTAAATTTATATATAACACTGGAATGCATTACAATTCTTACTACATTTTAGAGCACATTTTTTCATATCTCTGGTTGTATACAAAGTATATTCACACCAATCCGTGTCTCATACATGTACTTTGGATAATGATGTCCATCACATTCTACCATCATTTCTAACCACATGCCCCCTCCCTTCCCCTTCAACTTTTGCCCAATCTAGAGTTCGTCTATTCCTCCCATGCTCCCTCTCACTACCCCACTATGAATCAGCCTTCTTATATCAGAGAAAACATTCGACATTTGGTTTTTTCAGATTGGCTAACTTCACTTAGCATTATCTTCTCTAACTCCATCCATTTCCTGCAAATGCCATGATTTTTTTCTCTTTTATTCCAAATTCTTATTTCAAGTATTTCACAGCCTTTTATGACTAATTCTCAGCCAGCCCTGAGACATGTTGAAAATATTATGTTCCTCTTGTCCAAGTGTAAGAGATTAAAATATGGTGTGAGTGCCTGCCCTGCCCAGGACCACAAATGCTCATGAAAAAACAGAAGTCAAAGATAAGGTTGTAAAAAAAAAAAAAAAAAAAAAAACAATGGTGGGGCATGGTGGCACAGCCTAGAATCTCTGCAACTTAGAAGGCTGAGGCAGGAGAATTCCAAGTTCAAGACCTCAGCAAATTTCCAAAATAAAAAACAGAAAGGGGTGGGGATGTAGTTCCGTGGTAGAATATTCCTAAGTTCCATCCCTGGTACCTTTTAAAAAAAGAAAATAACAAACACTCCTTTGCAGCCTTTTGGCAATGGAATTTAATACATTTCAGATCTGGAATTAGCAGGTAGCTAATTTGATGCACTGACAGAAACTCTAGGTTGGGTCTTAGACCTAGTTTTCTCCACTGATGGATAAAACTTATTCCTTATCCCACCTGAAATCATACCTAATCACTTCACAGCATTCATTGTACACTGTCAGAAGGGAGAGGGGTGTTCCATATGCTGGGATGACTACTCAGGATCCATAACTCTGTGTAAACCGAGTCTGAATTCTGGCCCTCAAGTCAAAGAGCTGAAGAAAAAGATTGGTTCATCTCTTTGGCCTCCCAAATCTCCCACTTACCAAGAACCTTAAAATAAAAGCTATAAAAAGTGAAGCTAGAAACCAATGCAAATGGCTCTTTTTAAAAAATCAAGCCAAAAGCAAGTAAATTCTAAAAAACCCTGAGGATTTCTAAGCAGGCCTCAAAGAGATTTTAATTTCAAAAATCAAATATCTATGAGTTTTACAAAATTGAGTTTTAAAAAATTAAGTACTATAAGATAGGTTAACTAAAGACCATAAAGATAAATCCAAATTTGCTTTGCTAAATAGATTTTATAAAACTTAATTTTAATGGCACATATGCACATATTTATCACTGATAATCATGTGTAAATTTTAACACTGGACCTTACTTAATGATAATTCCAATAGTCAGTTTCCCTAAAGTTACAAAAAAAAAAAAAAAACTGTCCAAATACATTATTAAAATTTCTTGATTCTTTCTGTAGTTTAAATAAACAAGTTTTTACCTGGTTCTGATATATAATCATGAGAAAAAGATAACAAGAGACACGAAGGCATCACTTCAGCAAGCAGGTGATATGAATACTTTCTGCAATGATGTTGACCTTATCCATCCATTCCAATTGAATCATTCTTAGTAGGAATCATGCAACTTATATAAACTAAGAATGAAATTTCTAACCACAACTCACAAAAAAAAGTTTTCTTGAGAGAACTGGCTCTTTTAAGGAATAAAATTACCACACTACTCTTATTAGTCTAAAGCTCTAAAAAAGAAAATCATCCAATCACCCAGGAATGCCAGCAGTCCCCTCTTTCCTTTTCCAGTTCTCTGGTATTACTACTGGGATTGCTCCTCTACTCCTAGCCTCCTGGGAGGCAGTCACAAGAAGCAGCCCTCCTTACACCTGTCACATCTCCAATATACAGTACAAGTGCACAGGGCCTTTCTCTCCTTGTTGCCTTCTTGCAACTGACTGCCCTCTACTTTCCCCTTCTAATTCTCTCCCAGGAGTCCCTCACATCAAAGTGCTTTTCTGCCACAACTTCCTCCCAGAGTCCATTCAGGAGTAAAGACATTGCAGTGAAGGAAGACAGCCTTCCTCTGCAAGAGGTTGGCTATTGTTGCACTATTGAAATGAGAGAGAGGAATCCTGACAGCTTTTTCTGGACCATTTCCCCATAGAAATAATTACAAAGAATAGTTAAATTCCATTGTATCATCAGTACAATAGTTCAGCTACATTAAAGATTAAATGGGCCTTTATAGCTGATCTGGGAAACTAATCTATAAAACATTGTTTCTATGGAAAAAAAATTCTTCCAAACAATTGACCCATTTATAAACCTTGAAATACAATCTCATTCATAAAATGAACACTGCCTATACAAAACTCATACTCTGAGAACCTTTCAATCTACTTTAACAATGACTGAGAATATACATTTTGTGGCCTGTGGTTTATTTGATGTCTAACAATAATGCTGAGAAAACAATGGAAAACAAAACTATTTTTACTACTAGCTCACTTCACATTTATTCTAAACCATACTATGCAAAATCCCCCCATCCCAAATGAACATTATGTACATAACCTAAATATATTCATAATAATTTCAATGGACAGCATAATATACCTTTACATATTCCCTCTGCAACATGAATTTAATAATATCTGTTATTGATTCTTTAATGTCAGCAGGAAGATTCTGGAAAAGAAAAAAAGCATAACTAATTTTAGCAGCTACTATTTAGTGAAAAACAAGTAATAGTTATTCTAAATCTCTATCGTCTAATTTTCAAAGTCAGTTAATAAAAGCATTTCCCGAGAAACCTTACCCTTTTCCGGAGCTTTCTGAAAAGTGGTCTGAGATAGGACTCAGTCTGCTTCTGAGTAGCACTGTTCAGTTTACCTTGAACACTGCGTTTCACATAATCTTCTCTGGCATTCAATTCCTTAGCCCAAACACCAAGAAGAAACTGTTGAAAGAAGGAGTAAATTGAGACTACAATGCCATCTAGTGGTTTAATGAGTTTAAAAGCACTATAACACAAAAAACAGTACATTATCATTAAAGTAAATGCCTTGGTTAGTTAAAATATTATCAAATAAAGTTTAACTATTTCTGCTTATTTTGTCATGTTTGTTTCAAAGCATCATCTTTAGTGAGTCACAAACATCCCTAATCTATGTATCATATTCCTAGCTCAAGATAAGCCATTTGCTTAAAAAAAAGGACTATCAAATTTCTTAGACAGGAGCAGTGGCATATGCCTATAATCCCAGTGGCTCCTGAGGCTGAAGCAGTAGGATCCAGAGTTCAAAGCCAGTCTCAACAAAAGGAGGCACTAAGCAACTCAGTGAGACCTTGCCTCTAAATAAAATACAAAAAAGAGTTGAGGATGTGGCTCAGTGGTTGAGTACCCCTGAATTCAATCCAGTACAAAATTAAAAAAAAAAAAAAATTCTTAATTATTTGAATAAACTTTTACTTTATTTGCAAAAATTGTACCTATCACATAAAATTTGACCAAGTTGGATTAATCATCCATAAGACCATATGCACTATGATACTTAGTCTCCCAAGTATTCTGTATTATTTGAACTACTTATACAGTACAGACAATAAATCAATTTAAAAAAAAGTCCCACTAAAGCACCTGACTAAAGAAGGAAGAAAAAAAAGAAATGAGGGCTGGGGATGTGGCTCAAGCGGTAGCACGCTCGCCTGGCATGCGTGCGGCCCGGGTTCGATCCTCAGCACCACATACAAACAACGATGTTGTGTCCGCCGAGAAATGGAAAATAAATATTAAAAAAAAATTCTCTCTCTCTCTCTCTCTCTCTCTCTCTCTCACACACACACACACACTCTCTCTCTCTCTTTAAAAAAAAAAAAAAAAAAAAAAGAAATGAAAATAAAGCAGACTGTGACCCATCCCTCCCACTTCTTGCCTCCACCCCCAGAAACAAACCTAGTCCCTTCTGGGTTTGACCGTATACATGGTACTCCTTCCAAGGCAATGTGAAGGCTGAGGGGGATATACTCCTTTATGCACACCTACAAAGGGGAGGCCATCACTCTAAAATAAAAGACTTGCTCATACTAGTTCCAAGCCCTATCCTCCATATATTTTAGAATCTTTATGACCAAAATAATATATTTAAAATCTAAATACAAGTAAAATCATTCTTTATACTTAAATCTCCAACTGAACAGCTTATGAATAAACATTAAAAACAACTAGGCTTAACCAGAGTTAGAAACGCCTATAATAAAGATAGAATTAAGGGACTGGAGCTGTAGCTCAGTGGTACAGCATTTGCCTGGCACACATTAGGCACTGAGTTTGATCCCCAGCACCATATAAAAATTGTATCCATCTACAACTAAAAATATATATATATATAAAAAAAGACAGAATTAGCAAATCAATTAAAAAATAGGCAATCGGGGGCTGGGGTTGTGGCTCAGAGGAAGAGTGCTCGCCTAGCATGCGTGAGGCACTGGGTTCTATCCTCAGCACCATATAAGAAAATAAAGGTATTGTGTCAAAAAATAAAATAAAATACCTGGGAGTCAACCTTACAAAAGAGGTGAAAGATCTATACAATGAAAACTACAGAACCATAAAGAAAGAAATAAAAGAAGACCTTAGAAGATGGAAGGATATACCTTGCTCATGGATGGGCAGAATTAATATTATTAAAATAGCCATATTACCAAAAGCACTATACAGATTCAATGCAATTCCCATCAAAATCCCAATGGCATTCCTTGCAGAAATAGAAAAAGCAATTATGAAGTTCATCTGGAAAAATAAGAGACCTAGAATAGCTAAAGTAATTCTAAGCAGGAAGAATGAAACTGGTGGTATTGCGATACCAGATTTTAAACTATACTACAGAGCAATAGTAACAAAAACAGCATGGTACTGGCACCAAAACAGGCTGGTAGACCAAGTACAGAATAGAGGACACAGAGACAAATCCACAAAATAACAAACACCTTATATTAGACAAAGGTGCTAGAAGCATGCAATGGAGAAAGGATTGCACCTTCAACAGATGGTGCTGGGAGAATTGGAAATCCATATGCAACAAAATGAAACTGAATCCCTTTCTCTCACCATGCACAAAAGTCAACTGAAAATGGATCAAGGAACTAGGAATCAAACCAGAGACTCTGTGTCTAATAGAAGATAAAGTTGGCCCTAATCTTCGTCATGTGGGGACAGGCCCCAAATTCCTTAATAAGACACCTATAGCACAAGAGTTAAAACCAAGAATTAACAAATGGGACGAATTCAAACTAAAAGTTTTTTCTCAGCAAGAGAAATAATATGTGAGGTGAATAGGGAGCCTACATCCTGGGAACAAATTTTTACCCCTCAAACATCAGATAGAGCTCTAATCTCTAGAGTATAMAAAGAACTCAAAAAGTTAAACAACAAAAAARCAAATAACCCAATCAACAAATGGGCCAAGGACCTGAATAGACACTTCTCAGAAGAGGATATACAATCAATCAACAAATACATGAAAAAATGCTCACCATCTCTAGCAATCAGAGAAATGCAAATTAAAACTACTCTAAGATACCATCTCACTCCAATAAGAATGACAGCCATTATGAAGTCAAACAAAATAAGTGCTGGCGAGGATGGGGGGGGGCATACTCATACATTGCTGGTGGGACTGCAAATTGGTGCAGCCAATTTGGAAAGCAGTGTGGAGATTCCTTGGAAAACTGGGAATGGAACCACCATTTGACCCAGCTATTCCCCTTCTCGGACTATACTCAAAAGATCTAAAAAGAGCATACTACAGGGACACAGCCACATCAATATTTATAGCAGCACAATTCACAATAGCTAGACTGTGGAACCAACATAGATGCCCTTCAATAGATGAATGGATAAAAAAAAAAAATGTGGCATTTATACACAATGGAATATTACTCAGCATTAAAAAATAACAAGATCATGGCATTTGCAGGGAAATGGATGGCATTAGAGTAGATTATGCTAAATGAATTTAGCCAATCCCTAAAAAACAAATGCCGAATGTCTTCTCTGATATAAGAGGGTTGACTCAAAATGGGATAGGGAGAAAGAGCATGAGAAGATTACCCTAAATAGGGAAGAGAGGTGGGAGGGAAAAGGAGGGAGAAGGRGAATTGCATGGAAGATGGAAGGAGACCCTCATCATTATACAGAATACATGTATGATGTTGTGAGGAGAAAAAAAAGAAAAGTTTGTCACATTAGATTGGGTAGAGAGAAGTGTTGGGAGGGGAGTGGAGGGGAAGGGGGGATAGGAAAGGCAGCAGAATAAAATAGACATTATTATTGCTGTATATATATAGGTGACTGTATGACCAATGTGATTCTGCAACCTGTACAATCAGAAAAATGAGAAATTATACCCCATTTGATTCAAATGTATGAATTGTCAAGATCATTGTACTGTCATGTGTAGCTAATAAAAAATAAATAAATAAATAAATAAAAGTATTATGTCCACCTACAACTTAAAAAAAAATCTTTTTTAAAAAATTAATTAAATAAATAAAAAATAGGCAACTATATGTACAAGGGAAGAAATGAACACTCTGGAAGGTTATAGATATGTTTACTTTTTGAATTGCCAATGTCTTCCCACTTCCTTCCTTTTCTTACTTTCACAGATATCTCATAAAAGCTTCTGGAACCCAGCCATTGCACTCCTTCCTAGGCGTTAAGAAAAAAATAAGCAATTCCTCCGAATTTCTTGTTCATTGTACTGTTGGGATTCTTTTGTGTATGTTTATATGAATTAGTCAACTTCTGAGAAAAGCATCACAAAGAAAGTAAATACACTTTTTCTTTCATTAACCACTATATACAAGTGTAAAGTGATGTCATAAACATAGCACAAACACTCATGTTTTTTGAGAATGTCCCTATCTAGCCTTTAACCTTTGATACTCAAAAAATAGAAGAACAGTTCTTGAGTATTCCAAATGCCTCTTTCCCTCACCTGTGATACATACCTTCAGGAACTTGGTGATGATGTCCATGTCCTTATGATCATCGCCTTTCCCTAAAGACTCCCCCAGTGTCTTAAGAAAAAGAAATGATACTTCTGTTAATAAACAGAGAGAGCAAACTGCATGGATGTATTCAAATGTGGTGTGTGTATATGTGACCAACACCATATTATTCAATGCTCTTTATCACATATTCTGTATAATTTTTATTTAAAAATCTGTTGGAATTTCTAGTTAAAAAGAAAAAAAAAAGCCCAAAACTGATTTTCCATTTCTACAGAGAAATTGTAATATCTTTTATAACTCCAAAGACAGGTGGAGAGAAAAAAGAATCAGAATCACATGTGGTGGTGCATGCCAGTAATCCACTGGCTCAGGAGGCTGATGCAGGAGGATCACAGGTTCAAAGCCAGTCTCAACAACTTAGCAAGGCCCTAAGCAACTCAATGAGACCCTATCTCTAAATAAAATACAAAAAAGGGCTGGGGATATGATGGCTCAGTGGTTAAGTGTCCCTTAGTTCAATCTCCAGTGCCAAAACAAAAAGACAACGGGGTAAGTACAATGACTCCTAATGGATATGATATTTCTTTGGGAAGGAACAAAAATGTTCTAATAGATAATGATAATGGTTGTACCACCCAGTGGATATATTAAAATCCCCTAAATTATATACTTTAAATGAGTATATCATATTGTATGTGAATATCTCAATAAAGCTTTCTTCAAAAAAGAAAGAAAGATAAAGAAGGAGGGTGGGAGGAAAGAAGGAACAAGTGAGTCCAACTAACAAATGGTTGCCTATATCAATTGTTTAGTAAAATTTAGGGACCATCATAGGTGATGGGGAAGAAGTGATTAAAATGACAATTTTAATCAATCTTACTCTTAGAGACCACTACAGGTACAAGAACCAGAAACAAAGGAAACAGAAAAATAACAGTTTATTTCTTATTAAGCATTAAAAAATTGTAAGCTAAGCCATGTTTTTTACATGCTGTTTTAGTACACAGTGGTGTACTAAAGACTACTTATCATAAAGTTGTTTGTGATTAATAAGGAGCTGGGAACAATCCAGCTATCCACAATTATAAGGTAAAATATTGCCATAATATGCAGCAATTAAAAGCAAAGGTCTAAATGTACCTAAAGCATCAAGAATGGATCTCAAAAACAACATGAAGTGAAAAAAAGAAAAGTAAAAAAATAAAATAAGACTATCACTACACAATATTATTTATGAAAATAAAAATTATACGGACATAACCAGGCATGTTGTCAGATACCTGTAATCCCAGCTACTCAGGTGGCTAAGGCAGGAGGATCACAAGTTCAAGGCTAGCCTAGGCAACTTAGTGAAATTGTCTCAAAATAAAAATTTAAAAAGGCCTGGGGGCTGGGCACAGCCAGCATCAGCAACTTATCTAGGCCCTGCAACTCAGCAAGACCCTATCTCTTAAAAAAAAAAAAACAAAAAAAACTGGGGATAGCTCAGTGGCTTAAGTCCATCTGGGTTCAATTCCCAGTACCAAAAAAAAAAAAAAAAAAAAAAAAGGCCTGGGTATGTAGCTTAGTGACAGAGCACTTCCCTACATTCATGAGGCCTTGGAGTCAACCCCCCAAAAATATGTATGTGTGCATGCATGTGCATGTATATGCATAGTACACTGCAGATTTTACAAGAACATAAACAAATGCAAGGATCATGTCAAACATATTATAATGACTAATTTTTGAGGTTAGGAAGTAGAGGAATATGAATAAAGAATGAGCAAAAGAAGAATAAATGAATAAAAGCATGAAATAAAAGAAGGGCCTTTGTACTGACCCAAGATGGTAGTGGCTTTTCAGTAAACACTCTGATCAACTTAGCCATCTGCTCCAGAGGAAAAGTGATGGGGAATGAGCTGGGCTGGGAGTGGAGATTACCTCTAACTCTTCAATTGTCGTGTTTTCTTCATGAACTTTCAAATCATTTTGTGTATCTTCCTCTCCAGGTTCTTGACCACCCACAATTTCATTGAGGTACTGTTGATCAATCTTATCCAAAGCTGCTTTCAGATCATTCCTCAAGCCCTAAGAAAGAGGAAAAAGGGGGCTAGGGTTATAACCTCAGTAATAGATGAGCATGTTTGAGGATTTCATTCTCAGCACCACATGTAAATAAATATAAATAAAGGTCCATCAATAACTAAATACATACATATATTTTTTATTAAAATATATATTTCTTATTAAAATATATTATATATGGCAAAAAAAAATTTTAAAGAGGAGAAAGGAAGTATACCCATTATGAAATTTCACTGATGTTTCACCTTCAATTTTACAGTAATAAGAAGTACATTTCATTTTTCTCCCTACAAGGAGTTAAGAATTTGGTAAAACTAGTATGCATAATATTAGCATTATTCTCCAAAGTTAATTCTTACAAACATATTTAAAGGAATGTATGCACAATGGCCAAACTGGTGGTTAGAAAAATAAAACAGACATGAGCAACAAATTCAAATAAGAATCTTCCTAAATGCTGTAATTTTCTAAGAAGGCTTAGTGAAAATGACCAGATCTTCATTGGGGTCCCCACCATTCATTTAAAACATCCAACTTCACTGCAACTACTCTGAACTCCTCAAATATTTAGAATAAAGCTGGTAACTCATCTATATGTCAGGTTCTAAACTTCATTTCTAGCAAACTGGCAAATTCTACATTATACGCATATTCACTGTGTGACTATTTAATAAAAAATGGAAGCCTCAGTTTCCTCAACGTGAATGAAAATCAGCCATGAGGTGTAAAAACCACAGTTGTGAAGTCTATCAGGCTTCAAAACTTTGTAGCTTACTACTCGTATTAGACAACTTACTTTACCCACGTATGCCTCAGTTGTTGTACCTATAAAATGAGAACAATACCATCTACTATGTAGATGTCATGAGAAATATTTTTTGTTTTATTTAACATTTACTACGTACTAGAACTGTTCCAAAAGCCTTGCAAATATCAAGTTATATACATAGGCAAATTAATGTACACTGCACTTTCAACAGTCACTGGAGCACAGTAAGCATTCAACAAATATTAGTTTTTGTTTATCACAAGCAATTTGATTATTTTCTACTGTTCTTTCATAAACATAGAAGAGAAATAAAACTCTTTAATTTACCAAACATCAAGTACTTCCTATGTAAAATGCAGAAGGCCAGTACCCAATGATTATCTTCTTGAATTCTAACAACATCCTTGTGAAACAGATATAACTGCCTTCAATTTATAAATAAGGACTCTAAGGTTCAAGTAAATTAAATACTTGACAGTGGCCCAATAATTAATAATTATAAATCAGGAATGGAATCCAGAGTTTTTGTTCCTATGCTCTTTCCTAAAAACCACATATGCAAGACACTAGACTTGGCAAACAAAATTAAACCAGGAAAAGATAAATACGTACAACAATCCAATATTAGTGAACTACAGTAAGTGAATTAACAGAAGTTTATTACAGGAACATAGAGAGGGAAGCAATTAATTAATTCAATTAATTAATTAATTAGAAGAAGAGAAACAATCTTTAATTTTGTCTGAAAAAACAAAAGGTTTCAACCAAGGCATACAAGAGAAAAACAAAAGGCACAGGAAAACTGATCATTATAGACAGAGACTGAAAGTGTTCAGGCAACTGTTTGTGCCATGGCAATGTTGAAAAGTGAAGCAGGAAGGTGGTTTGGCAACAAATAGGGAAAGCAGTCATGAAGCCCAAGCTAGCAAAAAGAAACCTACATGAAGAAAGAGATGCCCAGTTAGGCCCCAGCAATTCTCACCTTCCATCTGAGATGCCAGGCACATAAGGACTAGTCCAGATGAGTCTTTAAATGATTTCAGATGACTCTTATCTAAATGCAATCACATGGAAGACCCCAAGCGAAAGACAACTAGCCCAATCAAACTACAAAACTGTGAGATGATAAATTATCTAAACTACCAGGTTTCTAAGTGATTTGTTATACTCACAGATAAACAAAAGATTTTCTATTAATAAATTCTTTTACATGACTAAGTTTGAGTATGGTCTGTTGCACAGCCATAGATGACCATACCCATCTTTCAGTAACTGATAGAGGAAGTTTGATAAAACGTTATTGAGGCCACAAAGATATGAACAACACTATCAYAATTGACACTTGTAGAAATATATAATGAAATAAAAAACATACTCTTTTCAAGAGTCCCTGGAATGGACCACATATTGAGCCATGAAACAAGATCAGAGCTTCCATCAAAATCTAAGACTATTAATCTTCCAAAAGAAAATACAAAGGAAGGTTGAGACCTTGGGGTAGGCAAAGATTTCTTAAGCACAACATAAACAACAACAACCATAAAAGGAAAAGCTAATAGATTTCACTTCATCAAAATTTAAACTGCTCAGCAAAGACATCATTGAGAGATTAAAACAAGATACAGACTAGGAGAATAGTCACAAAATTTATAAGTATACAAATAACTCCCAAATTCAAAAGATAATCCAATTTAACAATGAATATGACTAATACTACAGAAAGTCTATGAAGGATGTCTATGAAAAAGTAGAGATTCATCATCTTAGTAAATAGGGAAATATGAATAAAATCACAATGAGATACTTCTATACATACAAGAGAATGGTTAAAATTAAAAAGACTAACAATACCATAGGATGATATTTAGAAATGTCTGGCATTTCTTACTTAAGCACGTATCTATTTTTATTATTTAGCAATTCCACTTCTAGGTATTTCCCCAAAAAACAAAACATATTTACTCAAGAGAAAAAATAACAGGCTCAAATATGATACAGATATCAATGTTCACAGCAGTTTTATTTATTATAGCCCAAAGCTCAAAACGAACTATAGTACATTTATATAACTGAATATCACTGGGCAATGGAAAGGAAATCAGTGAATTCTGCAATACATGGGAGAAGCGAAAAAATGTTACACTGAGCAAGATAAACCAGATATACCCTGAGGTTAACCATATGAGACACCAGACCAAGTCAAATAAAAAAGGTGACAGAATTCAAAAGGTGGCTTCCTGGAAGTGGAGGAGAGATATGGGGATTGGCTATGAAGGGGCACTGGAGAACTTTCTGAGGTGATAGAAATATTCTATATCATGATAAGGGTAGGGTTATACACTTGTATTTGTCAAAATGCACTAAACTATGGGCTGGGGATGTGCCTCAAGCGGTAGCGYGCTCGCCTGGCATGCGTGCGGCCCGGGTTCGATCCTCAGCACCACATACCAACAAAGATGTTGTGTCCGCCGAGAACTAAAAAAATAAATATTAAAAATTCTCTCTCTCTCTCTCTCTCCTCTCTCACTCTCTCTTTAAAAAAAAAATGCACGAAACTATATGCAAGTTACATACATTTTTATGAAAGTAAACAGCATCAGAAGCAACGGTATTTTTCAATTTTTTACATATAGTAACACAATTAGTCAAACTCCAAACTATTCTAGTCAGTTGTATTTTTCTAACTTTATTCTGACTTCTTACCTTATTAACTTCTGGTGTGAGGATCTCTATTTTTCTTAAACGTTGAAAAGCATCATAATCAGTTTCTCCAAATAGTCTAATTGGTTCTCCTCTTTCTCTTAACCTTCTGATAACCTATAAAAAAACAAAAGCCTAGTAATTCATTTAATTTGTGAAACGGGAAAAAACCCAAATACCTCAAAACAATTTACATATTTTACCTTAAAATTGAAATCAGTGTTTAATAAAATGAATTGAATTATCTAAATACATATTTTTGAGTGAAAAATAAAATATTTTAATCATCTGTCTACACTAAAAAAAGATGTCAGTGAATGAAAGAGAAAATACCTTAGTTAAAAGTCTATTTTGACTCATTGTCATGGCTAAAAATATTTTATTACTGAATAGCTCCTAGAAAGTGGTCTGACATGCAAATCTATAATTCAAACCTAAAGCAAGCCCCAAATATAGACCACTCATTTTTTTGCAAGACACACACACTCCTTACTTATAAGAACATAAGAGAAGGGATACAGTTTTGGTCCTCAATTTACATAACTGTGTCACAGTCCTCTTTTTAAAAACATCAAAAGACAATACTAATACCCTCTGCCAACATGTATTTTAGGTGATCAAACATCTGTTTTGAAATGTAGATGTAAAAAGTAAGTTGTATTTGTTTTTCCTTAATCTTCCATGAACAGATATGCTGTGCTATCATCACACTTTTTGAACAACAGTCCTCTGCTGGCCTGTTGCAGGTAGGATAATCTGTGCAGTAAGACACACAGAAAAAACACTAAAGATAGGAGGGAAGTATGGCAGTTCTACAAAGAATAAAACTTGGAGACAAACAATGACTCCATAATCATAGCAAAGAGGATGCACCGTAATACTATAGTAAAATTCAAGGAGAGAAAATGAGAGATGACTAAAAGGGGCACATACAGGACTTCGGAAGTACAGATCCATACTCGATTTCATGACTTGGGGAATGTAATTATCCATTATATTACATCTATGTTTTATATACTCTTTGTGTACATTATGTTTCATTTAAAAAAGGAGAAAGAAAAATGTAATTAAGAAAATAACTGATGGGGCTGGGGATGTGGCTCAAGCGGTAGCGCGCTCGCCTGGCATG